ATACACTTGCCATTTACTAGTTAGTCATTACATTTTAATAGACACTATAAGCCCACAGTAGTAGGGAAATACAGGCATAAAAACAGCAGATCAACAGAAGAAAACGAACAGAATAAATAAACATATATAGGAATTTAATATTTAATACTGCAAATTACTGGAGAAATACTCCCATTCAACAAATGAATCAAGTGGCCATTATAAAAAATAAACTAGATCCCCAATTTAGTCCTAAAACCACAGTAATTTCAGCACGGATCAAAGACTTAAATGTAAAAAGTGCATCAGTCACTTAACAGAAGACAATCTTAGAGTAGTGAAGGATTCTCTAAGTATGACACAAAAGTACAGAAGACACAAAAGTAACAGGATTGCACAAATATTAAAACCATATTAAGACAAAGCATACATTCACTACTAGATAAGATAAAACAAATTAGCACACGTCACACCAAGGGCTAATTTATGAAGAGTTTATACAAATGAAGGGAGGGAACCCATTCAATTCTAAAAATGGGCAAAAAGGACAAATAAAAAATTAACAGAAGAAATAAAATCGCTAAGAAACATGGTAAAAGATGCTCATGTTTTCTAGAAACTAAAATAGAAATTAAAACAGGAATGAGATTTTTCATTTTTCAGTCTGGCAAAGACAAGCTGACAATCAGCAATAGTGGGTATGGGGAAACTGTGGGAATGTAAATGAGGACAGTCTCAAAACTCCTGAGTTCAAGCGATCTTGCTACCTTAGCCTCTCAGAGTGCTACAATCACAGGGGTGATCCACTGTGCCTGGCCTAAACCTTATTCTTTAACCACAACATTTATGAAGTTTAGAAATCAATAATTATAATTGTATTAAGTCCAAAGATTTCCCTCTTCTAATTTCTGAAGTTTAAATTACAGTAGTCTAAAGAAATATTACCTTGTGAGTGCTGAGTTTTCCAATTTCATCTAGATCCAAAAACATGTCCAAATCACATCCTAATTTCCCAAAAGTGTTCACTGAAGAGCCAAAGGGTCTGACTATACAGTCCGGAAAATACGCAGCTGCTATATCTTCGATAAGAGAGCAGGTGAGATATCGGAGCCTAGTGTTCTCCTCTGTCAGCTCGGATTCCTTCAGCAGAGTGTTCAGCTGATCATCTACCTAGCTGGCCAAGACAAAAATATAGAAAATGTACAGGTCATATAAAATAATTGCCACTTTATTTCTAAAGATTTGATCGCTTTGGAGACCCACCTTAAAAACATGCAATTTTTTTCTTCAGTCTTAAAACTGGATTTTAAAAAAATACTCTTTACAAAGCACCAAGGAGCGACACTAGCAAAATAAAAGTTGGCTAGAATCAGAACCATGGCTTTACATAAGCAATGAGTATAATGTATTGTTTCAGGAAAATGAAAGTAGTTAAGTGCTCCAGAAGAGGTCAAAACCACCACAAGCGGGACATTTTAAACTCAGCAGGAAGAAAGAGCAATGTTAAAGGAGAAGAAACACTAGAAATAAGCAACAATTCAAGTAATGAAGACCCAAGATCTCTCAGTTTCTTCGAATAACAATCCTATATATTTATTACAAGATTGGTGTTAAAAATGATCACATTTTAGCCAGACGTGGTGGCTCATACTTGTAATCCCAGCACTTTGGGAGGCCCAAGTGGGAGGATCACCTGAAGCCAGGAGTTCAAGATCAGTCTGGGTGACACAATGAGACCCTAGCTCTACAAAAAATTAAAAAATTAGGTAGGCATGGTGGTGCGTGTCTATAGTCCCAGCTACACAGGAGGCTGAGGCAGGGGGATCACTTGAGCCTAGGAGCTCGAGGCTGCAGTGAGCTGTGACGGCACCACCACACTACAACCTGGGCAACAGAGAGAGACCCTGTTTCTTAAAAAAAAAATAAAAAAGATCACATTTTGAAACTGTGTGCTGAAGTTGAATATTTCCAGTAAAAACGCATCGCTTCAAATTCCCTATTCAAAAACAGTATTGAAAATAACTGAACTAAGCAGTCAACTCATAAATAAATAAATAAATAAATGTAAAGGAAATGTATAAGGTTAGAAGCAAAAATTTTAAAAAGTAGAAAATCGAGCCAAAAAAATAACATTTTGTTAAATAAAACCATAAATTGATTGTCTGAATGGATTATCTAAACATTTGACAAATCTGAGGAAGAAACACCAAGACAAATACAAATAATAAAGGACAAAGAAAAGAGAAAGCCAGAAATAAGATATTTTAAAACTTATGGAATACCATGTACAATTTTATGTCATCATTGTCGGAAGAAAAAAAGAAAACCTGAATTTTCCAAAAAGGCCAAAAACTTTGAAAGAATATGGTCGCCTCTGAGGAGTACAAACGGGATGGGGGTGGGGGGTTTCAGAGAGTGGAGAAGGATTACTTTCACTTTTCACTTGATACAGTCTGTAGTTTGAATTTTTTAAAGCAATCCCATTTATTAATAGATGTTAAAACTGTAATCAAAATAGCAAAACAAATGTACTAACGTATTTTTAAAAATATACCTTGACTAAGTAAGGTTCATGCTGTGAATGCAAGAATGGCTTTACATGAGGAAATCTATGACTATAATTACTGGGTATCTACCCAAGGAAAAGAAATCATTTTATCAAAAAGACAC